TTAAACTTCTATACCTGGAAAAAAACACTCTTTACTATTGATGACAGATCTCTTAGTTTTAAGCTGTTCAAGTGATGAGATGACACCTGAACTATGTAAAGGATGAGAGCTCCCATCCATTAGTGGACCAGGGTTAGAAGGTATATTAGCCATAGTCAAAACAAACTCAATTTATTAACAATTCTCAACAAGGTCACAAATTTCAACAACCAAAGTTAAGAAATGCACCAATAGCAAAATATTAAGGTGACAAGTTTTTTTTTTTTTTTTTTACAATTAAAAGGAGGACGAAAAATTTTAGGAAATGTTACAACGCAATTATATGAAACATTTTATTAATTCAAACAAAAACACGCTAATTATGCTTACATCCCTTTTAATTATTTACTTAAACGAGTATTTTCTCATTGAATGAATTTTTTTGTTTGTCAATATATTATTTTTTAATACATCGAAATTTTCGGAGAAAAAAATATCCTTCATCTTTATTGTAAGTACAGCAGCTAAAATATCAACATCGAATTTTGATTTCTCACTTGTCCAAAAATTACCTACTGAAAAGACTCTTTCAACTGGTGCATTAGTTCCAGGGCAGCTCAACGTAAATTCAAGAAGAATAACTGAATTTTTATATGGCATGTGTTCATTTCTGAAATGGTTAAGTATTTCAACCCATCTTTTATCAATTTCAGCATGTTGATTTTCCAATTGTTTCAATTAATTATAATTTAAATATACATTCAGTCTTCCAATTTCTTCAAACAGACCATTGTCAATGATTTTAATAACAGGCATTTCTTTTGATAAAAAATCAACACAGTTTTCTACATCTGCCCAATTTACTTGTGATGAAGTCAAAACACACACCATTGAAAACTGTTATTTCCTATGATATTTGTTTGAGACTATTCTTCGACATATTGTTCAAACATGCTCGGTTCATCTCTGAATGCAGAGATTAACAGATCAGTTTTAAAATATTGAAAAGGAGGACAAGAAGGAAGACACTTTTCGAGGAAGGACAGGACCTATAAAAGGAGGATGGCTGGTCACCGTATAAATATGGGAGTTATAGCGAGGTAGAAGAGATAATTGGAGATATAATTATAAATCGAATCACACTTACTCTTAGCACGTCCTGGCAATACACCTTCTAAATATTTGAAGGCAAGTTCTAAAGTAATCTAATTCAAGACGACACTAATCCATTTTAAACAGTTAATTGACCAAATCGTCAATCTTAATATTAAATCAAATAATCTACGAAGTACTCTTGCCTAGCTTTACATAAATCAATAGCTGTTATTCGTTTATATAGCTTCTAACCCAGGGGTACTCAACCTTTTTTTCTACTGGGACACATACATATGTCAGCTACTTCATGCGGAACGCAAACATATGTTAGTTATTTCACGCGGCCCATAACATGAGGATAAATGGGGAAGGGTGGGGGGAGGAGAAATGCTTTAAGACCAAGATAACATTGAAAATTTAAAATATGGAAATTGATCAAAATATTAAAACTTCTCTATTTTGCGTTTTTTTAATTATTATTTTTTATATTTTTTATTTTTGTCAATAAATTTTCCTAAATTGATAGCATTTAAGAATCACGCTTTTACAATTTCTGCAACAGTTAACGATTTCATATGATTAGGAATAATGTAACAAATTTCATAGAGAGCCTTTGTTACCGCTGTGACATTACCAATGACAAAACAATTTTTTTTTTGCTGTTGTAAAGAATATTCAAGAAAGCCTATTTGTCACCTCTTGAAAGAGATCTTCGAGAAAAGGTGTCATATTGAATGTGATTCCTTGTTTATTGGTATTTTTAAATACAGCACTTTCGAGACAAATTAAACAATTACTGAACCATGCTTGTTTATCACAACAAAATAGTTAACTTCCCAATAGTCTTGAAACAATCCATTTTCTTCGAATACTTTTCACTTGCAAGATATGAAAGATAGTTAAAAATTTATTCCACTCATAAAATGGTTGCTACTCCACACTGTTGTCTATTATCACTAATAAGAACAAAAATATCAATTCGCACCCATACGACATCGATAGAAAAAAGCAAAATTGATCTGTTTGATTTTTAACAAAAGAGTTCCCCACCAAATTTTCATAAATAAATGAATTTTACATATCAATGGGCCATGACAGGGCCACTTACAAAGGCCCGTGAGCCGCAGGCTGAGTATTAATATTCTAACTCTTTGTTTCAAACTTGAAAGTTAATTTTTAAATATAGGCCTTGATTTGAATAATTCGCGTCTTCTTCTTCGGAGGAAAGTTTTCTGTAGAATAATATTTGAAGAACCATTACATTCCCCAAGAGGATTAGTAGGAAGTACGCGAATAGACACGTTTATCCCACTCTCCAACTTCCTCATCACTCCATCGTGAGGCCTTATATACTGAACGAATTTGACATAGATGAGTCTACTTACATAGTAAGTCCCTATTAGCACCAGGATTAAAGTCCTTACTTGTATGAAAAAATGTTTGGTACTCTTTCACGCAAAAACAATTGAATGGATTCTAATGAAACTTAACAATAATGTAGCTTATACAGCAGAATAACCCATAGGCTATAATTTATAAAGATATTGTGTGAAGTGTCCAAAATATAACGATAATTGTCAAGAAAGTAGGAAAAAATTCTGCCATCTGAAACAAGCCCGCGACAGCATATATCAGGGGTAGCAAACCTGTATGGATCATCGTGCCATTTTATTCTGAAGAAATATTTATTGAGGTATAGACGTGCCTGTCAAATAATTTTCACTTGTGATTGTTGGAAAAATAATAAAACTAAATTCTAACAGCTCAAAACTCTTTATTTACTACGAAAAAATACATTTTGCACCTTATAGTAGTAAATATTTTAGTTATACGTGTAATTCAGATTAAAGTAACATTAGTGTGATTTCTGTTGCTGCTGATTATATGAAAAAAAAACTTATATTAGGATTGTAAGGTGTTACTTTTAGTAGAATACATGCTGAATTGGAGTCATCTGTCAGTTTCTAAGTGAGTTTTTAATGCTATTCAACTCTGAAAATAATGACTCGCAGGCATGGGTAGATGAAAATATGGTTCAAATTGATGACCCAGCTTCTTCAAACAGTTAAATGTGTCTGGAATCGAAAATTTCATTAGCATTTTTACTTATATTGCTTGTTAATCTTTCTGTTTCAATCACACACACACAATTCCGACAAATGTTTTGAATCCATATTAAACTAGACTGGAAATTAATCAGTTGCATTTAAAAATTTCCAATTTTTAACCAATCGAATTGGGACAAGTTCAGTTTTATTAAATGAAATCATATCAGGGTACATAAAAAAACTTGAAAGTTTCCGATAATTCTTCGAACTGAGAAAATCGCTGAAAACTGCGACCGATTACTCGCGTTTGTTCGTAATACTTCATACTGAACTTTGTTATTTTTAATTAACCGTTTAATTAACCGTTTAATTAACTAATGTTTAATTAACCGCAAACCGTTTTGATCGTTGGCGTGCATAAAAATTATGTCGCGTGCCAGTGGCACTCGTGCCAGTGGTTCGCATTCCTGGCATATATCTATCTTTTATGTATGAAGCAAAACTTTGCATTTTGTTTTGTCTACGCCAGGCGCCAGAAACTGCGAAAGCTTGAACCGGAGGAGTGTGAGGCTGATTACAACAAATACAACAAATGATAAAATAAATACAACAAAAAGTAATATTAACGTATTACACTTCCAGATATATATAAATTATTTATAATATTTTAAGCGTTCATTACACAAAATATGTAACAATGTGCTACTTTTGCTGAGCAGAGATCAGCTTAGGAAGGTGTTTTCAAAAATTGACCCGCAAGAGAGTTATGGGGAATTATTGATAAAAAAAATTCCTTTTACCAGCTATTAGATTTACAGACAAAATTTAACAAACAAGGTTTTTTTGTTCAGATGAGACATGCAAAAAGCTTTTTTTTTTTTGTTTAATTTCCAATTCACGTAAAATTAACTCATTAAAATCTTCTTCATCCTTCAATCTGTATTGTTTAATTTTACTATTCACCCGTGCGAAGAACGGGTATAACAGCTAGTATCAAATAAATAAGAAAACATATACGCATCGCTATTGTTAGAATAACAAATTTTTATTCGTGAAAATATTATTAAAATAGCATTTCACTTTGCAATGCTAATCCAATTATTATTGCAATATGAATCTTTTCTATATCTATTATAATATCTTCAAATTAACTGCGCGGGGTTTTGAGATGGCTCTAAGCTATGCTTTAGCCATTACTTGAATGAAACAGACTATAATACTTCAAATAAAGTATTCAAGATCATGCATTCATTATATGTATTTGCATTAATTTATGAACGCATATGTATTAATTTATATTGAAGTATACTTCTCATAACAATTGAGTCAAATACTGATTACAATCTTTTCAAGTTAAGTATAAATTTACATATATTTGATGTTTAATATTATATCATAAATATTTTATTCATACCCCAGTCGAATTCAAACCGGAAAAGGAAACATTGCCTATAGCTGATTTCACGTTAGAAATTGTAATGTCAGTGAAATTATCAATTGACTTATTTTAAAGATCCAGACAATTACTAAAACAATCTTTGAATATTTTCAATCCATTTCATTTATATTTCTAGTACTTGTTTTTTCAATTCCTACTCTATTAGTTCACTCTCTCCCTATATATATATATATATATTTGAACAAGATGTATATATAAACATCTTGTTCAAATTTTCAATCGTTAATAAAATACTTTCTATTCCTCCAATCAAGTTCAAATACATTTTTTTAAACTTGCAATGGATGACACATGAAGTTAATATAATTTTTTCAAATATATAAATATATATATATATTCATCAATTTTTTAATTAATGAATAAATAGTAACAAAAAAATAATAGTCAACAGCATATATAGAAAGGAGAATCGTTCGTGTGTCCCTGTAGCGCAATGGATAGCGCGTTGGACTTCTAATCCAAATGTAGTGGGTTCACTCCCACCTGGGATGGCCTGATTTCTGAGAATGTGATTTCTTTTTACTATACTATTTTATTAGAATAACTAAATTTAATTAATGAATAAATACTAACTATATATATAAAGGGTGTTTTTTTAGAGGTATAGAACTTTAATTGCAATAAAACAACGATGTATTATTCGATTGACATGAATTATTTTATTCGAAAGATAATCTTGTGGCATTACATTTTAAATATGATTTCCGGCATAGGACTGCCACGGCTGGCTCGGATGTAGTCCAATCTGGACGTCCAATTTTCGATGACTTTTTCCAACATTTGTGGCCGTATATCTGCAATAACACGGCGAATGTTGTCTTCCAAATGGTCAAGCGTTTGTGGCTTATCCGCATAGACCAATGACTTTACATAGCCCCACAGAAAATAGTCTAGCGGTGTTAAATCACAAGATCTTGGAGGCCAATTCATAGGTCCAAAACGTGAAATTAGGCTGTCACCAAACATGTCTTTCAATAAATCGATTGTGGCACGAGCTGTGTGACATGTTGCACCGTCTTGTTGGAACCACAGCTCCTGGACATCATGATTGTTCAATTCAGGAATGAAAAAGTTAGTAATCATGGCTCTGTACCGATCACCATTGACTGTAACGTTGTGGCCTTCATCGTTTTTGAAGAAGGATTCCACCAGCCCATAAAGCGCACCAAACAGTCAGTTTTTCTGGATGTAACGGTGTTTCGACATACACTTGTGGATTAGCTTCACTCCAAATGCGGCAGTTTTGTTTGTTGACGTAGCCATTCAACCAGAAGTGCGCTTCATCGCTAAACAAAATTCGCTTATGGAAATCGGGAACAACGGCAATCTCGTTTTGTGCCCATTCGACGAATCTAAAAGCGTTGTTCAGGCGTGAGTCTATTCATGATGAATTGCCAAACCAAACTGAGAATAAATCACTTGACAGCTGTTAAATCGGTCGCCATCTTGGAAAGTAATGCCAACTTAAACTTCTATACCTGGAAAAAAAACACTCTTTATAAACTAAAATAATACTCCAACATCCTATATAGAAAAGAAAATGGAAAATTCAAGGAAAATCGGTTTCTATTTTGTCACTTAATACTGCGTTTCTGTCATATGTATATACATATTTATATTATTTGTAATTATTTAAGAAAAAATAACTAAAATAAATTGTTTTGTTTGTTGACCTAAGTAGGAATTGACTTAAACATTTTTTTATATAACCTGTTTGTTACATAAGATGAATTTTTTTACATTGTCGCAGTACCTTATCATCGTGTTGGTTGGGGTGAAGATTCCTAGAAGATCCTAATGCAGCATAGATGTAAAAGCCATTAAATCAGATACAAAATGATTACAAATAGGTATTTGCAATAATTTATTTGTTTTAAATTAAACACCGTAAAAATGAGTTCACTGTATGCTAACAAGATAAGCTAAAGTATAAGAATCAATTGGTACGGATCTGAAATGAGATACAACTTCTCAAATTTGACACAAAAATACTTCAACGTCTTTTAACTTACAAGTGGATACCCAAATATGATTCAAGCATCAATAAATATGACTACAGAAGGTCGTTTACACTTTATGGAAACTATTTTGTAATTAATTTTCTCGTTTGGATTTTGAGATAAAACTGTGGAAATTTCGGAATAATCATCTTCTAATGTTTTTTCTTTGTGTATTATAATATAAAATGAAAAATTTATTTTAAAAATGCCTCCAAAAATTGATTTTGGCTCGAGGGTTACGTAACTACGCTATCCGAGGAGAAATATTCTTATCAAAAAATTATAAAGTAGTGTAGAGTTTCAGTATTTGCATTACAATAAAAGGTGTTTGTAATATATTAAATTTGAAAGGTAAAAAACGTATAATAGAAAGTAAAAAAGGAAAACATGACCATGAAACTCCATCCTAAGTCTGTCAAGCAAGAAGCTATCAAAAAAGTGATCCTAAATAAGAAACTGCCAACTGAAAGATTGATTCATTGTATCGAAACTATGAATGTATTCCGACATTGTAAGTAAAATCGTTCATAAAGATTTTAAAGTTAAATGAGATGTTTGAACCTAAAGTTCGTTTCCGTTTTTTAAACATATTGCTGAAAAAAATAGCAAAAAAATTGTAGAAAATTATATACTAAAAAATAACTGATGGAAAACGGAAATTTCTGGTGATACTCGATGAGACATGGGTATATTTAAGTGACTGTAATAAAAGATCAATTTTCTATTGTTCAAATGACAAAAATGACCGTACGAAATGACTTCGTTATTGTACAGTAAAGTTCTCAAGGGAATTCAAGATAGTTACAGGATTTTCTAGTAACATCAAACAAAAAAATAAAAAAGTATCAATAAATCCAAAACTAATTCACTATGCTATCGCCAGAATATTTTAGAACCATTTTTTGAAGAAGAAATTCCAACCTTATATGGATAGGACATTGATAAAGTTGAAAGTCATAAATGGACAAAGCCTCCAGTCAAACGTCTAATTAAACTGCCTGCTTATTTAGCAAAGAAAGAATCAAAAACAGGAATAAAGTGTATTCCATTTGATGGAATACGTGTAAAATCACTTTGCGCTTCTCCAATGGACTTTCGTGCATTCTATTTCTTAAAAAGAGCCTTAAGGAAACGTCATCCAAGAGCATTAAACGGACATTGGAAAACGGTTCACGAGGAATGCAGTAAAATTTGTACGACAGTGCTAAGAAAACGTTCACTTTCATGAAAATTTGAGCTAGAGCTATTGTCAAGAATCATGGCTATCAGATAGAAGCAAGTTTTCACAAAATATATAGTATTTACTGATAAAAATTAACTATTAAAATCTTTCCTATAAAGTGTGAACTAACTTCTCTATATCGTCCACTAACACCTATTTTCCTCTGAAATCATCATCTATATTATATGATCTATCTTCCTGGCTATTTATATGCTATTCGGTAGTGAAGTTCACTTGTTTATAGGTGTTGTTATAGCTTTAAGTGCCAATTTGGCTGGACGGAAAAAAATTGACTTGGAGAGGATACGCCTCACGGATAGCCCATTGTGTCACCCTCAGAAATAGGTTCTTAAAATAGGGTGTTTTAAATAACGAACGTATATAATTTATCTTGCTATTTTCATTATCATTGTGATTTTATCAGTGGATGATGATATTTGTGGAGAAAGGCAAATCATCAGTATCTCTGTACAACGTTGAAATCTTGAAATTTGGCATCTAATTTAGAACTGGAGTTAATAAATTCACGTAAATTCGATATAACATTATTCAAAATAAAACTTTAAAAATAATTTACTCATGAGCGTTACTTTTTCTTCCAAGCTTAAGTACTTACCATATTTTTTTTTTGTTTTTTTGTACCTAAAAGGCATTTTTTTTTTTTTTTTTTTTTTTTGCTTTCGAAATTGGTACAGAAAACAAGGTGTGTCTTATGTAACGAACGTATATTTTATTATGCCCCTTTTCATTATCATTGTCGTTTTATCAGTTCTTGTTGGTATTTGTGGAGAGAAACCATCATCAGTATCTCGCTAAGTCATTGATATCTTGAAATTTGATGTCTTATGTAAAACGGGGAAGAATAAATTTACATAAATTCTCTCTCTCTCTCGATATAACAGTACTCTAAATAAAACTTAACAAGTATTTTATTCACGAGCGTTAGTTTTTCTTCCAAAGCTGAAGTACTTACCATATTTTTTAGTGCAAAGATGCATTTTCTGCCTTAGAAATTATTTCTGGTTATGGGACGTGCTTTATGTAATGTATAATTTGTCGTGCTCTGGTGCGTACAACTTGTTGTAGAAAGAAGAGTCAGATTATTGTTCTGAGTGAACTATTAAATTATCTTATTATTATTTTTTATGACTTATTTTAATTTTTGCGTTTTAAATTTTAGATGTTTATCCAGAAATTTGCATTCTATTTTAAAATGTGGCTAAAAAAAGAGTGTCTTCTTCTTTCCAAGCACTACAGCCGGTTACCAGCCAAGGCTGTCTCAGTCGGCTTAGACCAGGGGTACTCAACGTTTTTTTCTGCTGGGCCGCATTCATATGTCAGCCATTTCACGTGGGCCGCATACGTATGTTAGTTATTCCACGCGGGCTGCAACATGAGGATAAATGGGGGGTGAGAAATACTTTAAGATCAAGATAACTTTGGAAATTTAAAATGTGGAAAATTGATCATTATTTTATAACTCCTGTTTTGCTTTTTTTTTAAAATTATTTTTTATATTTTTATTTTTGTTACTAACACTAAATTAGAAACATTTAAGAAACAATCCTTCACAATTTATGCATCATTAAACGGTTTCATATAATTACCAATAATATAACAAACTTCATGAGATGTCTTTGTTACCGCTGTGATATTACCAATGACAAAATACTTTGTTTCTGTCGCAAGGAATATTCAAGAAAAAGCCTATTTATCACCTCTTGAAAGAGATCTTCGAGGAAAGGTGTCATTAAATGATTCCTGTTTATTGGTATTTTTTGAATACAGCACTTTCATGACAAATCATACAATTACTGATTCCTGTTTGTTTTTCACTACAAAATAGTCAATTTCCCAATTGTCCTGAATCCATATATTTTCTTCGAATATTTTTTGCTTGAAAGATATGAAAGATAGTTAAAAATTAATTCCACTCACGGTTCATTCCACTGTTGTCTGTTAAAACTAACCGTAACTGTTCCAAATAGAAAAATAATATCAATTCGTACCCGTACGACACAGACAACAAAAAGCAACTTTTTCCCCCTCTGGAGTTTGGAAAGTTATTTTCTTGACAGGAGTTTCATCGCTATATCGAAATGCACATGCCAGCCGCCTTATTTGGGAATCCTTGATCACTTTGACTATGTTCTGTTCTCTGTATTTCGATTTAAGATCAAAGTTGTATCGTATTCTCCAGATTCTGTTTCCTCTACCTGCACCAAAAAGCTTTCGTAAGATTTTTTTCTCGAAAATCATCAGTTTCTCT